CTGACATCAGAGGAAGTGACGCGACACGTCACTCATCCGGTCGTTAGCTGTTAGCTTAAAATTAGCATCGGCTAGCGTGGTCCAAAAACACAATTTAATGACGGATTTCAAACTGAAACGTGGCAAAATTTCAGCGATTAGGCTTCAAAGAAACGGAGCAGCGGATCAGAATGCAACTTTAAAGCGTTTTTCAACTTTAAAAAGCAGATTGAAATTCCCTATGAAAACGAGTTTAATTTCCGGGTCACGTGACTGAATCTACCAATGACAGAGCAGCACGGGGGTGGGCTTTACGACCTGACACGTCAGAGTTAGTCACGACTGACACGTCTCTCAGCCAATCAAAGCGTTACACACAGCCGTTTTCAACCAATCACAGATCGCCATTTCAGCTATCTTTGTTAGCATTAGCCTGAACAAGTCCGTCAACTTTTCGTCTTTTAAACTGTCAAAATGTACCATTTTCTGTCAAAAATGTAACTAATAAGCTCTCAAAGCTTCACTGAGACTTCGCCCAGTCCTTAAAATGTTTCTCCATCTATTTAAAACAACTCGTTCGAATTTCTCAGAACCGAACCGGACCAAAACCGGGTCGGCAGCAGAACCTCCGTCCGTTTAAACAGAATCCACGTTTTTCACAGCTCATCAGCTTTGTCACACATAACAGATGTACAATTTCAGCTTTCATAAAGACTCATTGGCTCTATTTCAGCTTTCAAAACATCACTAGCTGCAAGCATGCTGTATTTTCTCCAAGCATCGCAGCTCAACTCGCTGCGTTTCACAGCAGCTGATTCTCTGCACTTTTTTTCATGCCAACATGATATTCAATTGTTACACGAATACAGTCCATTTTATGAACCCGTCACGGGCCACCAGATGTAGTATGAACATATACTGATATATATTCATAAATTAAACGGATTCTTTCATTTTTCTGGACTGTATAATGTACGTGCATTGAATAATTAAAAATGTGGACGTGAGACGTTAATTATCTTTGACTCACCAACGACAGTGGGTCATTTATTAACAGAATCAAGTTTAACACATCACACATTTACATTAATTGGCAAAAATTGAAAATAACGACAGCTTATTAATCAGTTTTTACAGGAAGTAAACAATACGGTGATTGTTTTCTTACTTCCAGCAGTACAACAGACATTAACCACACGGC